AAGAACCCCAAAAATACCCTTATATGGGAGCTATGCCTAACCGTGGACCGATATATCACATCTTCGAACTTGACCTGCCTGCAGACAAAAGACAACCATATGCAAAATTTCAGCACCCTATCTCAATTCCTTCAGAAGATAGTGTGATTACAACAGACGGACGGACATGGCTAGATCGTCTTAGAATTTCACCCTGATCAAGAATATATATACTTTATAGGGTCGGGTCGGGTCGGTAATGAATATTTCGATGAGTTACAAACGGAATGACAAAATTAATATACCCTCCATACTATGGTGGAGGGTATAAAAACTCACTCTTATTCCAGTTCAATTATTGGAAATTTAGTTTAGCTTGTTAATTATAAAATTAATTAAAAACCATATTAAATATGCTATCAACATTTCAAATATAGAAGAAGGAAATTGTGTCATAGAAAATCCTATGAATGTTAATGAATTTTATCACACAAAAAAAAAGATCAACTTTTACAATTAATTTCTTATGTTCTGTATAATAAGCCTTAGTGAAAAAAAACGACGAGTAAAATTTGAAATATGCAAATTATTTGATGGATAATAAGGTTCATTAAATATTTTAATTAATAAAATGAGGACACGTTTCTTTTTTGCATATCTTTTGATAAGTATCCCGAAAAGTCACTTTGTGTTTTTGTAGGGTTGCATCACTGCATTTCGGCAATACATGAGATTTACCCTCAGTGGAACATTGAATACCACAAAATTGCGATGGGTAATAATAGTTTTGACTCCGTAAGGCAAATTCAAATCAAGCAAAAACCTCATCATCTTTGGTCTGGCCAAACTTTGTATACCCTCCACCATGTGATGAGCATTTAAAATATTTAAAATCGTTCAGAACCTATAATGAAATAAACTAAATTCAGCTAGGACATAGCTTCATATGGGGGATATACAAATGGATATACACTGAAAATGTTGAAGTTTTTATGTACCCAGAACCCAAAACATCCGAATAATAGGCACTTTGACTAGAAAATGGTTATACATTAACCATACAAATTTTTAAATTACGAAGGCGGGTCCAATTCAAGTTAATTTTATTTATTATATTACATGCGCCTATGAACTTCAGAATACTTCAATAATCTCGCCTTATTGACGGTTATGTCAAAATATGAACCCGCACTGAAACCATTTTTGCAAACATGGTTTCTATCCTCCAATAACTCGGAATGGTAAATTAAAGACACTTCGTTAAGAAATGCTCCAAAGACCACCAATTTGGGCAACACCTCTATATTGGTCTAAATACTAAGAGACCGTAGTTCCAAATTCTATTATCTTCGAAATGAATAATGCCCCTAGGATCCACAAAATACTGTAAATGAAGTTAACGTGGGCCTATACTGCCAATTTTTTGCATACTTACTCCATGAAACCGTTATCCCAGATTAAGGATTGCGCCTTGAACTTATAAAATTCAGCAAACCTTAACATACAACATGTTAGACAAATTTGCATGAAATCGGAAATATATGGGAGCTATACCTAAATCTTTACAGATTAAAAATAAAACCTCTCGTGAGTTAGCCTGTCCCAATTTGCGTCAAATCGGGAAAAATTGGCGTTCCTCAACATTCCTTTTCTACGTTAGTTTGTGGTCAAGGACTGTACCAATGTATTTTGCTTCTAATGAAAGGGCTAATGTGACTCCACCCAAGGATGGCAATCTGAAGATATCGCTTCCTAGTGAAGAGTACCATTTCTGTCTACGTTACCTCTTCCCATAGACTTGGTATATACAATAAAAGCAAACAGTGGGTTGATGATAGAATATCAAGAGTATCTCTGCCAGATTTAGTCAACGTTCCGTCGCTCAATACTACCTATAGATTTTGGATGTTAAGATTGTTATGCTTTACAATGATTCCGATTTATCTGCACCATGTTTAGCGCCTGCTGCTGTATGTTTCCTGTTTTACTGGCGGGAGGCGAAATTATAATTTCATCATCTCATAAAACAGCTTACCCTTGTTCCTCCCTAGGTACGGTTCACCAGCAGAGTCGGTGGCGAACTTAGCGACAAGGACGCCGTTTCTGTCAGACGAGGTGAGGATTCTCCACTTCCTCATCTAAAGTCCATCGTTCTGCTTTTCCACCAAATCAGTGTATTCCCCAGTCCCTTAAAAGGTGGTGGGATTCACATTGAGGTAACCATCCCGCTCGGTATCTCGTGAACTGTAACGACTGTCATCCCATATCAGACGATACACTATATGGGATATTTATCTAAATCTGTACCGATTCTAAAAAAAACTGCGCATACATCACACAGGGCCTAATTCAGTACGCTGGGAAAAAAATTGTCTCAATCGAAAAAAGGTTTTTTTTCAACTCGGACGAAACTATGTAGGAGAGCTATATCTAAATCTGAAACGATTCCAACATAACTTCGCATATATCAATCAGGACCTTACTAAGTAGACTGTGCAAAATTTTGCCTCAATCTGACAAACCTTGGCAGTTTGTTGCCCCATTTACAAACCAGGAAGGAAAGTAGTAAAGTCGGACGGGACCGACTATATGATACCCTTCACCACTATGGGTATATTAAACAGGACTATTATCATCAAATTGTATGAAATAAAATATGTGATATTTATCTAAATGTGAAACGACCTAGATCTATCCATAAACAGGTCATTCGTTTGTTACAATGGAACAAAAGTATGTAAATCGACTTCAATCAAATATCAATAGGCCATCCGTGAGCTAGGTCTGTACAAAACCCAACTACGTTATTCTATGCTCAATTTTGTACGTTGTGCAAAATTTGATGTCAATCTAACAAATATGAGAAGTTTGATGCACAATTTACTTATATATGGATGCTATATCCAAATATGACCGATTTCAACGAAACTTGTCACAGGTTAGGTTATACTAATTTCAGTACGTTTTGTTCCTATCAGCCATATATTGGTTCCTTGGTTCGTCAATTACTTAAAATCAATCTATAATATAGGGGAGCTATATCTAAACCTCAACCGATTTTCACTAATCTTGGCACACATTATTCTGGATTAAATTCAAAACGCTATGCAACATAAGAACTTGGTATATTATTTAGATTAAATCGGACGAAAATATATATATGTAGATCTGAATCGATTTTCACGAAACGCAGCACACATCATTCCACCAGTACGTTATGCCAAATTTCGTGCAAATCGAAAGATATATGGGACTTTGGTGCACTATTTACATAAAATCGGACGAAACTATATACAGGAGCTATATCTAAATCTGGACCGATTTTCACGAAACATACCAGAAATCATTCTAGGCTCAATTCAGTACGTTATGCCAAATTTCGTGCCAATCGAAATATATTTGGTGCACCATTTACATGAAATCGGACGAAACTATATACGGGAGCTATATCTAAATCTGGACCGATTTTCACGAAACTTGGCAGACATCACTCTAGGCTCAATTCACTACGTTATGCCAAATTTCGTGCAAATCGAAAGATATATAGGGATTTTGGCGCACCATTTACATGAAATCGGACGAAACTATATACGGGAGCTATCTCTAAATCTGGACCGATTTTAACGAAATTTGGCAGACATCACTCTAGCCCCAATTCAGTACGTTCTACCGAATTGCGTGCAAATCGAAAGATATATAGGGACTTTGGTACACCATTTACATTAAATCGGACGAAAATATATATGGGAGCTATATCTAAATCTGAACCGATTTTTCCCAATTTCAATAGGGTTCGTCCTTGGGCCAAACAAATGAGCTGTGCCAAATTTCATCCAATTCGGATCATAAATGCGACCTGTACTTTGCTCACAAAAATACATGGACAGACAGACGGACAGACGGACGGGCGGACGGACGGACATGCATAAATCGACTTAGAAAGTGATTCTATGCATATTCTCAAAAGGAACCCTGTGTCTATCTCGTTTCCTTTTGCCTGTTACAAACATACAAAGACATAATACCCTGTACCACAGTGTGGTGAAGGCTATAAAAAGGCGACTATTGTGGACTTATCAAGACTTATAGACTTTTGGTCATCTATAAGTTTTGAAATTCATACGGAACAATCATAACTTTTATTGAAGGTCAGTAGGTCTTCGTTAGGAAGTCTAGAATATAGAAATAGGGGTAGAGAAGTCCAAGAGATCATCTTATAGAAAACCTAAAGTAACTTCCAATAAGTCTATTTATACGTCAGGACCAAAAACTCTACTTCTAGAAGAAGTTGTTTTAAATTAGTTGCCCAAGAAAATTGTCCGTAAACCAATTTAATTCACCCTTTCTTAAACTAATACAAACGAAATAAAACAATTTACTTAATTTCTTTGACATTACACACAGAATGTTCAGTCTTAAGTGAATTTCTATGTAATGACAGTTGGATACAAAGAAAATGCGATGCAAAACAACAACGACAAAAACTAAACCTTTGATGGCAATTCTCGTTCCGACCACAGATAAGGAATTTACGATAAGCACTTTGCTAATTTAAAACTAATCGAATGTTAATTGAGCGTTCCTTTCATAATAGGTAGTTGGATTGCTACGACAACTAATCTAATGGCCATATGACACTAAGGCAACGACTACACTAATACGATTTAAAGGTATAGTGTACATATACATACAAACACACACATATTGTATGTTGTATATACAAGAGTATGTGTAATGGAGGGGAGCTACAAAAACATAAAAAAAAACAATCTACCCTCATGTAAATCTCAATGGTTGCCAATGGATGCACTGCCATTCATGTTGGGAGGATAATCGTACATGGCTCAACTACAACTACTCATACTCATGTTTATACAACTACAAATGTCTGCAACTATGTATGTATATGTGTGCTGTCGATTTTATATGCAAGAATTTTTTTATTTCTTGTTATTGTTGTTTGTTGATAGAAAAAAATGAGAATGTCATTTAGCATGGACTTTGGAAACGGCTATACATACATTTCATACCTTGGGTAGTCGGTATTTATGCCAACTAACGCCTCTGCTGCTTCTTCGTTGCATCCTGATGAGATCTGTTCCCGATTCGCAATGGAAGGTGTTTTCATCGAGCCAGGAATTGAGAGAGTGGATGCTGGTTTGCGGAGCTGTATGAAAAAAACAAAACAAGAATAGAGAAAGCAAAAAAGAAGAAGAAAATAAATTATTAGTTATGTGCAGTCACAAGAAAAAGGAGATGCTAAATAATATATATTGTGGGTGTGTGGGCGAGTCAATGTGGGCTACTGCTGTTGCGGCTATGAGAAACTACTTTTTTGTTTTTTGGGTTCATTTTTAGGTGTTTTACAAATATTTAATGTTCGTAATATATAAATTTTATTTTTTTGACATAGGTAATGTGCATTGCTATTCAACTATTTGGAAGGTGCAGCAATAATAACAAGGAAGGCAAGCAGCTTATACATTAAAAAACTAAGACAAATTTTAAAAATCACTTTTTATATAAAAATTGTTAAATAAATTTAAATAAAAATTGATTTGGATTTGAGTTGTCAAACAAGAAAGTACAGGAAGATCCTTCCTATAGTTACCAGAACGTATTTTTATATGGTACAAATTTTCTTACAGAAGATCACATTACAGTCCAAATCGCTTATAACGACAATGAATCTCTTATAACGACCGGTGAAATTGGTCACTATAAACGATAGTTTATAAGTTATATTAACCAAATGGTGGACCTTTTTCCGGCACTTTAGGATACCGTATTTAGAATCGATATGTCATTAAACTCGTCATTATAAACGATCTCGTCTGTACTTTTTATAAATAAACTAATAGATCCTCTTTTCTTATTTCAAGACCAATCATGAATTTTTTGCGATGATCATAGGAGACCAATAGGTTTTTTTTTATAGAAAATCGTACTATTTTTTATAAAATAGGATCGGAACATATTTTTATATATATTCTACGGAATACGAATAGGTGTTCTACTAGAAGACCAATATGACTTCTGATTTTATATTAGGCCAATTGGTGTCAGAAGATTTGACCAATAGGTATCCCTATAGATGTCAACATATTTATATTTTTATTAAAGAATATGCCTCCATATTGAGTATCAGAATCGATGACAAATAAAACTTCAAGTAGGGGCGGGTATGACTTCCTAGATGTAGTAGATTTTCTAGAAAAGCATTAAATAGATCTACTTATAAAAGACCAAGGTCCATAGAAGACAAAAAAGTGTTTCTATGACCAGGAGTTCCTATTATAAACCAGTAAGGAAAGTAGTAAAGTCGGACTGGGCCGACTATATGATACCCTTCACCATGAAATGAACGAACTTAAAAATGCGGTCTATAAGTAAACCGACTAACACATGCCATTCTGCAATCTATTCCATACTTTGTAAATAGACTTTAAGCAAACTGTGCGCACATGAATAGGTCGAAATTATATATGGAGCTATGCTATACCTAAATCTGAACCGATTTCAAGGAAATTTGCCCTAGATTAATTTATATGAATTTTGTACGTTTTGCCAATCGGCCTAGATATGGGTCTTTAGTACACCATTTACTTCAAATCGGACGAAAATATATATAGGAGCTATATATAAATCTGAACCAATTTCAAGAAAATGTGACACACGACAGGTTATAGCAACTTCAGTACATTGTACAAAATTGTGTGCGGGTCAGCCAATCTTTGGTTCTTAAGTGCACAATTTACGTTAAATCGGACGAAAAGATATATTGCAGCTATATCTAAATCTGAACCGATTTTCACGAAACATAACACACATTATTCTGGACCCAATTCAGTACCCTAGCCAAATTTCGTGACACGACTTTCTCGAAACTTGGCACACGTCATTCTTGACCTAAGTCATTACTTTATGCCAAATTTCGTGCAAATCGAAAGATATATAGGGACTTTGGTGCCCCATTTACCGTAAATCGGACGAAAATATATATGGGAGCTATATCTATATCTGGACCGATTTTCACGAAACTTAGCACACATCATTCTAGACTTTATTCAGTACGCTGTGCCAAATTTCGTGCAAATCGAAACATATATAGGGACTTTGATACAACATTTACATAAAATCGGAGATAACTATATATGGGAGCTATATCTAAATTTGAACCGATTTTCACGAAACTTAGCACACATCATTCCGGACCTAATTCACTACTCTGTGCCAAATTTAGTGCACCATTTACCTAAAATCGGATGAAAATTTAACACACATCATTCTCGATCTTGTTCATAACTCTGTGCCAAATTTCGTGCACATCAAAAGATTTCCAGGGACTTTAGTGGACTATTTACCTAAAATCGGGCGATGCTATATATTGGAGCTGTATCTAAATTTGAACCGATTTTCACGAAACTTTACACATTAATTTAGTACGTTGTGCCAAATGTCGTGCAAATCGAAAGATATATAGGGTCTTTAGTGCACCTTTTACCTTAAATCTGACGAAAATATATATGGGAACTATATCTAAATCTGAACCGATTTTTCCCAATTTCAATAGGGTTCGTCCTTGGTCAAAACAAATAAGCTGTGCCAAATTTCATCCAATTCGGATCATAAATGCGACCTGCACTTTGTTTACAATTTAACACCAACAGACGGACAGACGGACGGACATGCATAAATCGACTTAGAAGGTGATTATATGCATATTCTCAAAAGGAACCATGGGTCTATCTCGATTATTTTTGTCTGTTACAAACATATGCACAAAGACATAATACCCTGTACCACAGGAGGTCCTATTACAAAAAACTTTATAAAATAGCAAAAAATTCTGTTATGAAAAACGAATCTTCTTATAGAAGGCTTAGAGGTCTCTTTATAAAGGGCAAGTGTTTAACAGCTGTAGGCGAGGATTTTTAATGAATATTCTTTCATGAAGTTTACCAGATACAGATGTGAATTTTGTAATGACTATTTTTTCAATCAAGAAATTTACCCGATTTTTGTGTGAATTTTGGAAATATTTTACAAGAAATTTCCATTCTATAGGCGTGGATCATTACAAAATATTTTTCAAGAAATTTCCCTTCTATAGGCGTGGATTTTCGAAATAATATTTTTCAAGAAATATCCGTTCTATAGGCGTGGATTTTCGAAATATTATCTTTCAAGAAATTTCCCTTCTATAGGCGCGGATTTTCGAAATAATATTTTTCAAGAAATTTCCCTTCTATAGGCGTGGATTTTCGAAATAATATTTTTCAAGAAATATCCGTTCTATAGGCGTGGATTTTCGAAATATTATCTTTCAAGAAATTTCCCTTCTATAGGCGCGGATTTTCGAAATAATATTTTTCAAGAAATTTCCCTTCTATAGGCGTGGATTTTCGAAATAATATTTTTCCAAAAATTTCCCTTCTATAGGCGTGGTTTTTCGAAAAAAATATTTTTCAAGAAATTTCCCTTCTATAGGCGTGGATTTTTTAAATAATATTTTTCAAAAAATGTCCCTTCTATAGGCGTGGATTTTTTAAATAATATTTTTCAAAAAATTTCCCTTCTATAGGCATGGATTTTCGAAATAATATTTTTCAAGAAATGTCCCTTCTATAGGCGTTGATTTTTTGAATAATATTTTTCAACAAATTTAAATAGGCGTGGATTTTTTAAATAATATTTTTCAATAAATTCCCCTTATATAGGCGTGGGTTTTTAAATAATATTTTTCAATAAATTCCAATTATATAGGCGTGGATTCTTAAATAATATTTTTCAACAAATTCCCCTTATATAGGCGTGGATTCTTAAATAATATTTTTCAACAAATTCCCCTTATATAGGCGTGGATTCTTAAATAATATTTTTCAAGAAACTTCCCCTCTATAGGCGTTGATTTTCGAAATAATATTTTTCAAGAAACTTCCCTTCTATAGGCGTTGATTTTCGAAATAATATTTTTCAAAAAACTTCCCTTCTATAGGCGTTGATTTTCGAAATAATATTTTTCAAGAAACTTCCCTTCTATAGGCGTGGATATTTTAAATAATATTTAGCAAAAAATCCCTTCTATAGGCGTGAATTTTTTAAATAATATATTGCAAACAACTTCCCTTCTATAGGCGTGGATTTTTAAAAAATATTTTCCAAGAAATGTCCCAGATATAGGCGTGGATTTTCGAAATAATATTTTTCAAGAAATTTCCCTTCTATAGGCGTGGATTTTCGAAATAATATTTTTCATGAAATGTCCCTTCTATAAGCGTGGATTTTCAAAATAATATTTTTCAAGAAATTTCACTTCTATAGGCATGGATTTTCGAAATAATATCATTCAGGAAATTTCCCTTCTACAGGCGTGGATTTTCGAAATAATATTTTTCTAGAATAAAAAATTTATAGAGAACCCCATATTGAAGAAATTTATATCTTGAAAATAATAGAGCTGACCTTTTAAATATTAAGTGGTATTTTCATGGTTTACTAGAATCCCTTTTCCTTGTCATTTATCATATAATAGAACCGTTTAAAAACCTATAACCTATTACATAGAAATGTCATTCTTAATTAAGGAAAATGTCCTTAAAAAACATTGAAGCAAAAAAAAAAAACAGACTTTCGTTTCCGTATTATTAGCCATTTATTTTTTGTTGCTTGTTGTGCGTTTATTCAGCGGAAATATGGAGCTTAATTTAATGACAGAAATAAGGAGAAAGGGGAAAAAATAAATATCTAAATAAACTTTTTGTGACATTTTTGTACTATTTCAACCCAATAAAAAGGTCGATCCCACATCTAGCTCGTTAGATTTATGTACTGCATTCAGCCAAATAAAAATGGCTGAATTCATCAAACTTAAACCACACTGTACTTAGGGACTGACTGTGCTTTTTATTATTTCCTGTAAGCCATATAAATATTGCTATTAACACTAAATGTGTCAGAGTCGGCTAATAGCTAAAAAAACATAGAGACGGATGGTGGATGGTTGAAAAGAAATGGACATGGTACAGTGGTATCTTATTTTCTATGACAAAAATATCGTATTCTGAGATTCAAATGATATCCAGTCAATTCAAATGTTCAGTAACAGTAAAAATAAGTTTTGAAATAAAAAGGAGACAACATCCCTTAAGTGAACCATGTTCAATTTTG